AAAACAGGAAAGATACAAACTGAAACAAAGGTAAAATTTGTATTCTGTTTTCTAGCACAGAGGAATTTTAAGTCATGATGAATATATTTTTATATCATTGTATGTATTTTAACTCCAGTATACGTGATACTTGAGGCAGCTATGATGATCCCAGACTAGTACTGTACATCAATTTAAACTTAAATGAAACTTTTAAGACGAAGTTGGTCTCGAGTTTTGTATGTGACCTAATATGTCTGCGTCAACGACATTTCTTTTAATCGCTTATAAAAATTGTGAGATGTTTTCTAGACCGATCCTCCGTCAACATACATACACTCACGATTAAAAAAAAGTCTTGTCGCCTCTACTGCTGTTCCACGAACCCCGGGATTCAGACTCGTGAGCCCAAAGCAACAGACGCGGGTGCATTATTCTATCCATAGATGCTTCGGATTCACGAGTCTATATCTCGGGGTTCGTGAAGCAGCAGTAGAGGCGACAGAACTTATAATCGTGAGTGTACACCAAAATAGGCATCTACACCTTTACTTGACTTATACCACATAGCCTTGTTTGTCTTAAGGTTTGCCACACTGCATCACTTAATGTCTAGTGAAGACAGTACAGTACCTGTATACAAAAACTAAATCTAAACCTTAACTAGACCAGACTTAAAGCTAACCTTGTGTAAATGTTAACTTACTGGTAATGTAGTGAATTAAGGCACACACCTAGCAATATCATTTCTTTTCATACATAAAATACTGGTGTGACGCCATGAAATACTAGTGTAACGCCATGAAATACTAATGTGACGCCATGAAATACTAGTGTGACGCCATGAAATACTAATGTGACGCCATGAAATACTAGTGTGACGCCATGAAATACTGGTATGACGTCATGAAATATTACCGTGACGTCATGAAATAATGGTGTGACATTATGAAATACTGGTGTGACTCAACAAGTGCTAAGTGCCATTTCAGAGCCCCCCTTAAATAATAATAATAATAATAATAATAATAATAATAATAATAATAATAATAATAATAATAATAATAATAATAATAATAATAATAATAATAATAATATTACGAATATTTGCACGAAATAAACAGGTAATGTTAAAAAAAATAGAAAAACTTATTCAAGATTACATGTATACATCACTGGCCCCTTCACTTTAAGGTTAAATGTGCGACTCCGCCAGTTAAAGCTGACCTTGTGTTCCCCTAAGCTGAGCTTCACCCTCTGTCAGTCGCCTCTTGTGGGTGGTGGCAGAAAAAGGCATAGAGTGGTCGAAGAGTCTCAGGCACAGCGTGATGAGACGGAGGAAGAGAAGAGAAGAGAAGAGGAACCAAATAGACATTATACCACCACTAAACATCCCTTGGCACCACACTGCTTATGATGCCACCAGCTCTTCCATCAAGAGAGAGAGAGAGAGAGATATTCGGATTTATCGTTAAGTCCACCGAGGCCTCAGGTCAGGCTCATGTCTCAGACCTTCTTCAGTTTAGAATCTCACAGGCTATTCATCGATTCCTAATAGGTTCTAAATGAAAGACTTAAGTATGAAATCTCACATCGCAGCCAATAGCAGAAGTGACTTGGCTTCCCACTATGTCTCCTTAAGTTAGGTTGTAAATTGGCAGGAACATCTAAGAGCCTAACCATTAAACCATTATACTCCCAGGGGTTCGAAGTTAGCTGGTTCACTGGGCAAGGAGTTAGTTGTAAAAAGCACTTACTCTGACTAAAAGCTGACTACTGTAGATACGTTTGTTCCTGGGAAAGTATGATTGACTCCATTTAAGGTAGTAAACAAATCATACAAATTACACTCATGGATAGTTCATCCGACCATAAAAACATATAAGCCCAATCGCAGATCTTACCGGTCACTCACTGAAGACCAGAAGGTCATCAAAGACTAAGTTGAAGGAATTTGGGAAAATAAAAATATGGCATGTAAGAAGTCAGGTTGAGGGAGGGGGGAGGGGGGGGGTGATAATTAGGTATTGAAGCAAAGTACAAGTACAGTACAGGGCAAAACAAGGACTGGCTCTCTCTTCTAATTCACCAGGTGTTCGGAAGAGGATGATATACCAAGATAATATTCTGGATTTCTAGCGCCTCAATAGAACATGGTAATATACAAAGATGCTTTTATTTGTATTTTATGCCTCTATAATAAAGAAATTAAACATGATTATCAATCTTACTAGTGACTTTGAATATGAACAAAAAAGTTTCAATATAGGAAGGAATGTAATTGTACTTGAAAACAGTTACACACCGAAAAGCAGGTAATGAGAAAGTGGCAGTAACTGTAGGAGTGAGAACGGCAATGTGTTAAAAATGTGCCCTGGATAATATAAACCTTTTTAAGAGTACTGTATAAGCTAATTGACAAATATATACATGAAGTACCTCTTTGTACTTCCTCTTCTGTAATATTATAAAGGCAGATGTTTCAGTGAGTTCTGCATCTTAAATTTATCCAATCCATTCTGTGTCTACACAAGATCATCCAAGAACTACATACACCAGGTAATAGTCGAGAACAGCATTGCACTGAAGAGAATCATAGGAAACAGTGTCGCCATTAAAACCAAACAGTTGAATTAGTAAGTAAAGTCGATCAGAACAACGTAGGCAGACTAACCAAAAGATAAAAGAATAACACGTGTGGCTGTGTGAGAGGTTGAGAAAAGAGGAAGGAAAGTACAGAACTATCAGGAAAATGAATCAAAAGGAGTAGGTTACACTTAAGAGGATAGACAGTGTTCTAGATAGCATACTGGAGACAGTTAAGGGTGCATGTGATGATAAAGTGAAGAGGTAGGCTTGTGTGGTGGAATAAAAACAGAAGATGCAGTTCAGGGATTTTGTTTTACTAGTACTGTATTAGGTTACACTAATACAAAGTAAAAGAAAAAGAGGTATTATTTTTATACTAACCCTCAAGTGTCGATCTATTTACATTTTTCGTTATGTTTCAGAAATATTTACAAAATAATATATCTACAATAACATATATCTAACACCCCTTCACCCACCTCCTCACCAGTTAAACTTGACCTTCGGCCAACAGATTGAGATTCATTGAGAAGCCACACTACTGTAGACCACCGGATGCCTAAGAATCTGGCCTATTCGACACACAACGATGCCTAACGGAACACGTTCAGTGGGTACTCTAGGTGGTCCAGTGGTAGCATTTATTTTTCCCTCGCTGTTTAATGGTTCGAGTACGCCCATGTGTGTGCTGTGAGAACTTAACCTTTACGACGAACGAAAACTTGTTGACATTTGGTACAGGTCTTCAGCATATCTCTATGTTCCCTCTGACTGTTTGCTAGTGCATTTCATAATTTTTCATTTCATAATGCTGAAAAAATCGGTAATAAAAATAACATCACTAGAAGCTTTATGAAATTTCAACCAAAATCTAACATTAAATTAGCTTAACCTAAAGAAATGTTCAAATGCATTTATAAACAAAGAAAATTTAATTACAGTGCTGGGAGAAAATTAAGTTATTCAGGTAGTAGGTAGTGGGCAGCTATCAAACAGGGAGGTACTACCACCAGGGAGGATATTGGAAGCATAATGCGTGGTCTAATGGTAGACCCTGCTGCCATATTGCATCACACAAATTGTGACCAAGTCCCAGGTTGCTGATCTGTCTTTCTGCCTCATTTACACACAGTTGCAGGGTCTCAATTGTTTCTCTTACTTTGACAACACAACATACATACTGTATATCGTTTCTCTCTCTTTATTTATTTGTTCTTTTTTGTATTTGATTATGGTTATTATTATTATTATTGTTTTATTTGTATTTATTTTTTTATTCGCTTCCCAGGCCCTGATGTGGGTTAGTGACCTGTGCCCGGGTGGGCTAATGTCCGTATAAAAAAAAAAAAAAAAAACATTGATGTAGCGAGGATTGCAAGGTTTTAAATATCTTGATGGGTGTTGAGGGAAAATATTGACTGCCCTTCGGATCTATGTCCAGACTTATGCTGTTTCTGATAGCCAGCTGAGAGTAACTGGCTAGGCTGCAGATACTTCACATCAAAGGTATATTGAGCATCATGCAAGACCAGTCACATATTTTAACAAAGTCAGTTGCATCTTCATCAGAGTTTTATTTTTTAGAGATAACAATACTCACTCGATATACAAATAAGTTTAATAACAGAAATACCTATTTTTTACACCCTAAAAACAGTCTGGTATTTAATAATCTAAATCTATCACAACTTCTGGATCACAAATATTTAGCATCTTATAATTACTACAAAACTTCTTTATCTCGTTTAAGTTTTTACAAGTTTTGAAACAATCACACTCAAGGTTCAAGTAGTTAAGCGAAGCACATGGTAGACTCAACCAAGAATATAATTTGTTCTATATTCTTTGGAATTTCAAGATGGATTGGTAAAAGTTATTTAATGTCAGCACAACCGAGGCTAAAAAAATGATTGATCTACACCCTAACGATGTCTTTTGCTGACAACTATACAGTATTCTGCACTACTGATAACTTAAATATATGGTTATCTCCTCTCTGCGTTAGTGTGTGTAAGTGTGCATTTTGGAATTATCTACTGATGTGTTGCCAAAACATACACTGTTGATTGTTTCCATTGAGTACAACTTCAATTTCACGACATTGCTATGTTAAGTAGCTTTGCATTGGAAATTTGTCCTATTCGTCGATGATTCGTAAGTTAAAGTGTTGAAACGTTTCCCCAAATAGAGCAGAGATTGATAGCTAAGTATGGTATACAATGAGCTTTAAGATCTAATTAATAAGAATCGTAAAATAAACTTCAAAATGCGTGACTATTATATAACTTTCATTTATACACAAACATCCTTATAATTTAGAATTCTCTGCAATTTTGATACAACTGACCTTGTCCACATGCTTAGAAACCATGCCAGTGATATAAAACCAAAACTTGATGGGAAGAACTTCAATAACGGTGTAAAGGACCCACCTGGTGATGGGGAGCTGGTGGCAGTGTAGCAGCCGCAGGACCAATGTCATTAATGAGCGTCTCCTTCTTCCCGTCTCGCAGTATAGTAGTGACGGTGCCCACAGGTGCCTGGGCGGAAATACCTGCCGCGCCTGAAGCAGGTACAGGTGACTTGGTACCACTAAGGGAAATAGTGGGCGCAGGCGAGGGAGTGGAGCCTACTGAGGGCTGAGCCACCAGGTACTCATGTCGCTGGATGGCGCTTTCCCCTACGCCACTTACGATCATCCGTGTGGCAGTGGCGGACGGCTTCCGGGGGGACGACGTGCCTGCAAATACAAATTTGTTTTCCTTTATACTGTCAACAAGACTTCGCTTCGCTATATAATATCCTGGTCATTCAGTTATCATTAGAATCTGATTGCTAACCCAAATAATTGTAATCTACACAGTGGAACACTGGCACTGGCAAGATGTGTATTAAACATAGTTCTGTACCAAGGGTGACCAGCAGGCAACCTTCATCCTCATCTCTAGCAGCCTGGGAAATACTATCAAGAGTTTGCCAGAGTTTATGACGGGAATTTTAAAGTTTGTAAATACACTGAGTCATCACTGATCATGTTCGCTATTAAGAGAATTATCAAGAGAGCCTCTTTGTCTGAAGGTCTGTAGGTCTCTCTGAGAGGGACAAACAGGTTTTACTGACACGATTACAGAAAGGAGAACATTGGGCCGAATTATGTGGCACAGAACACTGACTAAGGATCTGGTAACCTGCAGGAGTTATGATAGTCTTCTCTTACACGGTCTTCATGTCATGCAAAACGTTGTCTCATTATTTCATGGAGGTAATGACTCCTATCGCTTTATGATTCCCAAAAACTGAAGACAAAAATTACTGTAAAGTTTTGAATGTAAATAAAACAAAAATGTCTAAGCAGTTGAATAGGAATAATAAAAATCATTGTCCTAAAATATGTTGAAAATATGATCGATGGAATTTACAAGTCGACTAATTTAGATGATAAATTGTGAACCGTAATTCTTTCGGAGCTGGACATAACTTTTGTCACTTAGGCCAGCTTGTAGTCACTTTCAGAGAACAGTGCGCGGTAATAACTCGTTTGTCATGGTCAGTACCAAGAGGTTATTTAAGGATTTATTAGTTAAAATACGTCAATTTTATTTATATAACTGTGGCATGTTATTGGAGATTGGCCACTGTTGGATTTACAGAATGCATCCATACTTTCATATATTTATTTTGTTATATCGGAAAGTCAGAAATTTTATTGATTGAGAATTAGAATATGCAACAACATTATTCATAATAATCGAGGGAAAAACTTTAAAGACACATCTTCCTCTAATTAATGAGAGTATTAAGTACAACACTGTATCTCTTGATTATCTTCAATAACATGAGTCGGGGGCAGTAACATGCACTAGAGAATGGAACAAGATTTATGTGTGAAATCAAATAACTCGTGTTAATATTTCCTAATACTGTATAACATTTAAGGTGCAAACACTGGCGAAGACAACACCAATACAACATAGATTCTCTGAGTCTATAAGCATATAAGAATACAGTATACAAATATATCGATATAATTTATAACATCCATTAGAAAGGCGACTCAAGAATGTCAATGGTTGCTGCAAACACATACGTTCAGATTTACTCCACTTTAATCATTCCTATAGCTGTAAGGACAACTATACTGCTGACAATCACTTCAGCATAATTCTTTTTCCTAATATGGAATGAAGATGAAAAATTATATCTTAACAAACAGGAGATTACAGTAATTACTTGAGAGTTGATGGTGGTACCTCAAGGTGAGTCACTGTTTTTGTCATTGAAATAAGACCGTTGGCAGTGTTTCAGAATCCTAGCAACAACTTCTTTCAATCCTTGTTTGAGCTCCTGATAACGCACACTTTCAGCAAATCTGCTCTCTCACAGCCGCACAAATCATAATGACTGCATTTAAACTGTATTTATGTCCGTTAATTGTAATTTCCGGACATCTTCCTCTATACAATATTCCGGGAATATCAATAATCTATCATATCATATGTGATTTTTGAGCACAGTTTCAGCTTCAAACAATCTGGTATTCGTACCACTAGATGCATGGGAAGTTAACCTTCGTTTGTACCTAAAGTATATCCTTACGTCAGCAAGGAAATGAGTGAATAAGCCAGAGACACAAACTTGACATATTATCCACAATTTCGGAGTTTAACGGCAACTTTTGAGGTATTGGACAAATTTACTCTCTCTCTTAAGGCCTCTGTAGACGTTTTAACGGTAGGAAACATCTTAGATACACACACACTTGGGGTATATGATATGGGAAACTCAAATTCCTCACAGCCCTGTTTTGTAATCCTTTGTGTACTGAAATTTTCGTCTCAACCTTCAGCGAGTGTTTTTTCTTCATGAAATGGTCAAGGGACATCTTTGGTGCCCTTAAGGAGCTTTAGCAACTTAGACATCATCAGTTAAGGCTCCAACAAGGATAGGTTTAAAGTTTGTACTCTACCGGAGCAAACATTTCTGTTTACTTCTGTGTCAAGCAGTCATGTTAGACCTGACACTCAGCACCTTGAGTCTTGGCGAGTTCTAATAGAATGAAGAGCTTTCAATAATTTTGTAAGCTGAAATAAAAAAGAAACCTTCCTAATTTTCTGCTGTTGGGATAAGCCAAAAGGTGAATATAAATATGAAGACTTTGTAAGAGAAAATGAAAAATGGAATAATATCAGATTCTGTATACGGTGAATGATTGTCGTTTAATAATGGCAGATCGTATTTGATTGATAAGATATAAAAGGCAAGAGTTCTTAAGTTTAGTAGTCGAGGGAAAGCAGGAGCTTCACAACCCACCCTCGAGTTACCAGCAGCCACACAGTAACTGATCGAGTTTTGTGTATGTAAGGGTAAGGGAAACAGCCAGTTTTTGAGAAGTTTTGTCTGCCATGTCTTCTTGATAATAGTTAGCTCAAAAATAAGTATGGGCCTCCTTACATACCCGCTGGTCTCATCACCCGCAGGGCAAAATTAATATTTAAAATTACTAGTATATTGACCATAACCTCTTTCAATCCTTGTTTGAGCTCCTGATAACGCACTCTTTCAGCATGTCTGCTCTCCCACAGCCTCATAAATCATAAGGACTGCTTTTATACTGTATTTATGTCCGTTTAGTGCAATTTCCGGACATATTCCTCTTCACGGTATTCCGGAAATATCAATAATGTATCATAATCGTGTTGAGGCCAACCTCCGACAGGTCTTTGGTCTCTTACGAGATAATTGGATAATTTCCATCTATTCAACAGGTGGATTATACAGGCATCGCCTCCTTCCTTGAGGATAGGACAGATGAACATACTGTATTGTACAGTTTATTGGTGATGAATTTCAGTTAGATTGTTATGACATGGATAAAGGCTCTACCCACGATAAAATACTGCCACCAGTTAAAATTATTTGTCTGTGTCATGACATTCTTTTCTTATAACTTTCATTTTCCTGTCTTTTCGCTTCTCTTGGTTTTTCCTTCACTGTTCTCTGAAATCAACATTGTTTCTGAAAACTTTGCTGATATTTTGCTATTATATTAAAGACAAGTAAAACCAAGAGTCCTTATGCACAATTGTAAGCAAAATTTTCCGACCAATTGAGGTCACTCCACCCTGTGATGATGACGAATACCTACAGAAACTTAAACCGTAGCCTAACATTATCTGTTCATTAATCTGCCCAGCATGAAACAGGTCTTATTAGTAAACAAACAATAAAAAATCCTTGAAAGCTGAAAAAAATAAACCAATAAGAAGCATTTTATGTAATACAATATGCCAAAGCAAGATAAATCAACATCACAAAGACAAACACAACAAAACGTCACTACTTCGACAGTTGATAACTTTTCATTTAGTGAAGCTAGAAACATGAAGTCTTCAGAAAAAGATATGACCATTGTTTTTATAACAATTGCTTTGAAGCGTGTTCTAGGCGACCGAATTGAAGTCGATGACACAAGTTCCACATCGCCACCAGATATTCCTGACCCGTTTTATTTTCCCTTTGTTGATGACGAATCCATGTCCTGAACCTTCGACGCACCTGTGTCATCGACTTCAATTCGGCCAACCACAACAGTCGAGGTCTTCAACTTAGCATAAACAGTTTAAGTCTGGACAGGAGAAATGGTATTAATAAAAAACACTATGGTCAGTGAAACTTGAGTACTGTACTTGTGCCATCTTTTGCTGAGGAGTTCATAGTTATATTCACCTCATGAAACAATGCGAACGGTTGAAGTAAAATCGTGTTTTATGGACAACCTGCATTAATATTACTGGTAGACGTGATGATGGTTATCTCCTCATCCCAAGCTTTATCTAATTTATTGTTTTAAACTCCTGTGGAAGGTAAACAGACACACCCTAGAATGTATACATGAAATAAGTTTGATCACAATCGAAGCTAATTCTGAACATTATCTCTTTTGCTGTAATGTAGAGCCTTGAAGCATTACAATGCCAGCGGCTTATCTTGGACAAATATGGTCCAGAATATAACATTACCACATGGATAGTTACAGCTAACTATGATTTGTATTATAGAAGCAACAATAAGAGAGAATTCAAAAGATACAGAGATTCTCTCACACGTGAAGGATACACACAATTATAATGAAGAATAATTAGAAGAAGCACAGTACGAAATAGAAATGTGATTAAGCAATTGTAAGAAAATATTGATTATTTTTTTAAGCAAGTGACAGCCTAAGTGACAGTACTAACACCAACCCATACAGCTGTCACCCGCTATGCTATAATCTTACATTGTTCAGGGATGATAAGGCTTTTAGTTGCTGAAGCCCTTCCCCCAAAAATCATTAACAAATAACTTTAATTAGTCTTTTTTAAACAGGTTAATATTTAGAGTACTATAATTACTTTTTAAAAGATACTTGGAATTACCGTTTCTGCTAAAAAAAATAGGATATACGAGTACTTTCACAGACAACTGATTAGGGAAGATAAACTGTATATAAGATACAGTCACCCAGGCCATTGTGTGTAGTGAATACAGTATAAGCCACTGGCAAACTAACTGTGGGACTTCAAATATAAAGTGACTGGCAAGATTTTATGTCATGCCATTTGTTATTTGGGAACACTTCTGAATGTGTTAAACCTTGATAAATAGCTTTCACTTTCAGCGGTTTACAGGTATACAGTATATATATTAAGCAGGTACAAATGAAGAAATAAACTTAAACTTAAGAAATAACAATGTCACAAATAATACAAATAAGATTAAAAGAATTAGATATGGAGTATAATCTTTTACCTTCATTCTACATTTGCATATACTGTATTGGGATTAATGATCATGTCGAATTAAATGCACCACTTAACACTGTTTCTCGTATTTACAATCAGATAAACAAGGCAAAACCTACAGTAGATAAAAAACTCTCACAGTAGTAGATTCCTTTCAAACGCAATTCACAAACAGTGTGGTATCATCCATGGTAAATTCGTCGTACATGATCTAATGTTTTAATTTTCGGCCCAATGTATGGTATATAAACACGGAAGTGTGTTTGGCAAAGTGAACATTATCTCCAGATCATGAATGACTCTCTTTAAATCTTCACTGGCTTGACAATCTACTCTTTTGCTGATAGAGATGTAAAATAAGACTGCGTACATGGTTGGTCTGCACTGTTGTTTTCTTGGTTGTTGACAAAATGTACTTCATATGATTGCGTGTATTATTTCAGACTGAAGTGACTTTTGTGACAACTGAAAAAACCTGGTATAGGTTTGAGGAGTACTGTAATGTACTGTGGTTACTTGTGTGACCAACTGTGAAAAACCAGAGAATCAGGTGTACATCCTCCCCCTGCCACCCATTACTTACAATATAATGATATACAGTATTACAATTACTATATGACCTGGCATAATTATAGCCCTGAACAGTGACCTATCATAGTTATATATCCTCTCAAGAGTAGTCTATTGTGGCTATGGCGTTGATCCATGACTGTGGTAAGACAAAAAAAGGTAAACATCATTGTGCTTCTAATTATAGTCTACCTTTAATGTGTCCCCCTTGTGGTAACTCACCGTAGTTGCAAGGCTTCCGGTTGTGACCTTCCATGACAGTGGCTCTCTATATCCCACCAAAGTCAAGTAATATTATGATGACCTTCCACAGATGCCTACCTACAGTAGCTGCTGAACAAAGTTGTGATCTCTCATAGTAAACTATCATAGTTACGGTTCACAAAGGGCAGCCTAAAGTAATAATGGCCTCTGATACCAAATTTACATAACACTGACTTTTAAGATGATATCCTAATACTGAATACACCCAGAGACACACCTGATAATGGCTGGTGGTGATGGTGGTCTGCTGTGGCGCCTGGCAACGACCTAACATACAGTACTGACAGACCTTGGAAGATGTCTACCACCGCTGACCGAGGCTGCTGGTGGTGACTGATAATGATCCGCGGCAATAAACCCCAACTACCGTACCTGTGGCCCTCTAGTAGTGACCTACCGTACCTGTGGCCCTCTAGTGGTGACCTACCGTACCTGTGGCCCTCTAGTAGCGACATACCGTACCTGTGGCCCTCTAGTGGTGACCTACCATAACGGTGGCCCTCTAGTAGTGACCTACCGTACCTGTGGCCCTCTAGTGGTGATCTACCATACCTGTGGCCCTCTAGTGGTGATTACCATACCTGTGGCCCTCTAGTGGTGACCTATCATACATGTGGCCCTCTAGTGGTGATCTACCATACCTGTGGTCCTCTAGTGGTGACCTACCGTACCTCTGGCCCTCTAGTGATGACCTACCGTACCTGTGGCCCTCTAGTGATGACCTACTGCACCTGATGCCCTAGTGGTGACCTACCATACCTGTGACCCTCTAGTGGTAACTTACCATACTTGTGGCCCTCTAGTGGTGACCTCCCATACCTGTGGCCCTCTGGTGATGACTTACCATACCTGTGGCCTGGTGACCTACCATACCTGTGGCTCTCTAGTGGTGACCTACCGTACCTGTGGCCCTCTAGTGATGAACTACCGTACCTGCGGCCCTCTAGTGATGACCGATTGCAACTGAGGCCATCTAGTGGTGACCTACCATACCTGTGGCCCTCTGGTGGTGACCTACCTGTGGCCCTCTAGTGGTGACCTGCCTGTGGCCCTCTGGTGGTGACCTACCACCTGTAGCCTCTAGTGATGACCTACCGTACCTGTGGCCCTAGTGGTAACCTACCGTATCTGTGGCCCTCTGGTGGTGACCTACCATACCTGTGGCCCTCTGGTGGTGATCTACCATACCTGTGGCCCTCTAGTGGTGACCTTACGTATCTGTGGCCCTCTAGTGTGATCTACCATACCTGTGCTCTCTAGTGGTGACCTATCATACATGTGGCCCTCTAGTGGTGATCTACCATACCTGTGGCCCTCTAGTGGTAACCTATCATACCTGTGACCCTCTGGTGACCTACCAAACCTGTGGCCCTCTGGTGGTGACCTACTATACCTGTGGCCCTCTAGTGGTGACTTAACTATACCTCTGGCCTCTAGTGATGCCGTACCATACCTTTGGCCCTTTAGTGATGCCCTACCATACCTGTGGCCCTAGTGGTGACCTATCATACCTCTGGCCCTCAAGTGATGACCTACCGTACCTGTGGCCCTCTAGTGATGACCTACCTTACCTGTGGCCCTCTAGTGATGACTTACCTTACCTGTGGCCCTCTAGTGATGACCTACTGCCCGTGGCCCTCTAGTGATAACCTACCGTACCTGTGGCCCTCTAGTGGTGACCTACCGTACCTCTGGCCCTCAAGTGATGACCTACCGTACCTGTGGCCTTCTAGTGATGACCTACCTTACCTGTGGCCCTCTAGTGATGACCTACTGTACCTGTGGCCTTCTAGTGATGACCTACCATACCTCTGGCCCTCAAGTGATGTCCTACCGTACCTGTGGCCTTCTAGTGATGACTTACCTTACTTGTGGCCCTCTAGTGGTGACCTACCGTACCAAAGGCCCTCTAATAATGACCGACTGCACCTGCGGCATTCTAGTGGTGACCTACCATACCTGTGGCCCTCTAGTGGTGACCTACCATACCTGTGGCCCTCTAGTGGTGACCTACCATACCTGTAGCCCTCTAGTGATGACCTACCGTACCTGTGGCCCTCTAGTGATGACCTACTGCACCTGAGGCCCTCTAGTGGTGAATTACCATACCTGTGGCCCTCTAGTGATGATCTATCATACCTGTGGCCCTCTAGTGATGATCTACCATACCTGTGGTTCTCTTTTGATGACCTACCATACTTGTGGCCCTCTAGTGATGACCTACCGTACCTGTGGTCCTCCAGTGATGACCTACCGTACCTGTGACCCTCTAGTGGTGACCTACCATACTTGTGACCTTCTAGTGGTGACCGACCATACCTGTGACCCTCTAGTGATGACCTACCATACTTGTGGCCCTCTAGTGGTGATCTACCACCTGTGGCCCTCTAGTGATGACCTACCATTGGCCCTCTGGTGGTGACCTCACCTGTGGCGCTCTGGTGGTCACCTACCTGTGGCCTCTGTGGTGTGGCCTCTAGTGATGACCTACCATACCTGTGGCGCTCTAGTGGTCACCTACCATACCTGTGGCCCTCTAGTGGTGACCTACCATACCTGTGGCCCTCTAGTGGTGACCTACCATACCTGTGGCCCTCTAGTGGTGACTTACCATACCTGTGGCGCCTCTAGTGGTGACCTACCATATCTGTGGACCTCTTGTGTTTACCTACCATACCTGTGGCCCTCTAGTGGTTACCTACCATACCTGTGGCCCTTACAGTGGCTAACTAAACAATGAGATCATGATAGTAATTACAACTGTTGCTACTACCTAACGGCACCTTGTCTCACTGTGGTCTCTTGTTGGACACCTATCAGGATTCTGGCCTCTTTTCAATAACTTACCTTAATGGTAGCAATTTGTGGGAGATCCACCATAGTTGTAGTCTCCTGGGTGAGGCTCCATGATGATGACTAACTAATGTAACAGTCTGCTGGTGATGACCTACCAAGGTCATGGCCTCCTGGTGATGACCTACCATGATTGTTATATCCTGGAGGTGATCTACCATGGTTTTGGCCTTCTGGTGGGGACTTACCATAGTTTTGCTCAGGTTGAGGCCCCTGTTGGCAACCTACCATTGTTATAGTCTCCCCTGTGGTGACCGACCATGGTTGTGGCCTCTGTGAAGACCTACCATAGGTGTCGTTACAGTTGCTGATCTCTCTTATCTGAGGCCACTTAGTGGTCACCTACCATTGTTGGGGTTACCAGTTGAATGCCTACCATAATTGAAGTCCTCAGGCGAGGACCTATCATGATTGTGGTCTCCAGCTGAAGACCTACCATGGTTGTGGCCTCCAAGATGGTTGCAGCTCATCTTGGTGGTGACCTATCATGGTTTCACGGTTGTGGCCCCTGGTGGTAACCTACCGTGGTTGTTGGCCCTGATGGTGACCTACCGTGACGGTGGTCCCCCCGGTGGCAGGGGTCCCAGGAGAGAACAACGGTGATCTTGCCGTACTGGTCCATGATCTTCCACACCGGCGCTTCATCGTGCAGGCCCAGGGAGTAGATGGTCTCACATACGATCTTGGGAATGGCAGTGATGGCTGCGAGTGGGAGAGCTCAGCGTTACCGAATTCAAGGAGCAAGGCGCAATGCAAACGGGGCCAAATTGTTCACCAAATATAATAAACTTCAACGACGCTATCTGTAGAGGAACTGCTGGCAGTAATCACTAGGCCTACGGCAGAATATGGTCTTGCTGATCTTGGTCCATGGCTGAACCAAGTGAATGGTGTTGAGAAAGGGAAGAAAAGGCTTATTTCACGTTCTTCTATCTCTATCAAATGAGGAAAGATAAGGTGGCGTTTGTTTGATAAGGGGTTGGCATACTATTGACATCATATGATATCATAATGTGGTCTTCTGTCATGTTAATGTAAAAGGCAATGTACGGTGATATTTTGTCTGTCAAAGAGTCGCAGATCGAGTCTCAATGATAGAACTAGTAAGATACAATATTGTAGCAGTGGGGCGCGCAGTATGCCTGCTCGTCATCAAGGTCGCAGATAAGATATTTACACATTTGAAAATTCGGTAGGACTTGCTATCAAAGTCAAAACTAAACTGCAGCACTGCCAAGAAAGAAACTTGATAGTAGAACTCAAGCTATAAAGAAACGAAACTAATGATAGGAATACTGATAAAATAGAACACCAGGACATTGAACTTCTGATCTGAGAACAAAAGAAACTAGTAATGCAATGACAAGAGAGTTCGATCCAGGCGGTCATGCAAAAACTGCTGTTGTGTAGCGAGTCTATTTTCAATCTTGCGTCCCCTCTCATTAATAGCTTTTATATATTTCAAAACTTTTTAGCAAGTTACTGTAAAAAATATTTAAATTTTTGTGCAGCTCTCCCCTTCGCAAAAACTCACTTCATCCCGAGATTGTACTCATCTTAGGACTATCTTATTTGGTATTTCGTCAGATTACTGTCAACGGCTTATAAAGGAGGTCGCAGTGCTATATGGATGGATAACCAAAGGAATTAAAACAACGTATTACAGTCAGCTCTTGCAAAGAGCATCATAAACAAATGCATGGATTAAATTAATAGTACAAAAACAAATATCAAAGGCAATAACCAAGCAAAAGAGGCTTTTAGAAATGAAAGATTTGTTTTATCTAAATATCAGACGCATCCTACTATCCAACTAGCACTGTATGATCGTATGTCTCAAGAACCAAGCTGGCCGAATTCTGATGTTGCTTTTAATTTCATCAACAACTACTTGAAAGATTTACTACTGATGATCACTTTATCAGTTAAATGTATAAAAATTAATAATTATATCAGGCGTTTTAGAGAGATAATTTTATTATTGATAAACCTTTTTTTTCATGATTAAAATGTTAAGGAAATGGAATACAGTTATGATATTCGTGCTTTGAATATATATATATATATATATATATATATATATATATATATATATATATATATATATATATATATATATATATATATATATATATATATATATATATATATATATATATATATATATATAATTTGAAAATGTGAAAAAAATTTTATCATTGAAGAATCTCATTTGTCTCTTTTTTCACCATGACCTACAAGGATTTAGCTCAGAACTTGGCCAGAGGTCTTAAAGAAAGCCTTTGTCATACATCCAACTTCAAAGTTTTTATCAAATATTTTCCTCATGTTGCGGACACAGGAGACCAGTAACTGCATGGGTTGGGAAGGGGGACACATTGTGCAGTATATTGTTTCAGAAATACTGCTTTATACTCCAAACAAGAATTAAATGCACATTTTTACAGAAGTCTCAAAAAAACAACAATTTGCAGAATCATTTGTAGACACCAAACACAAAATCTACAATAATTCAATAAAGTTGGGACATTGAGTGGGCAATGGGCCGCTAGTGAGTGTAGTGGTGTAGTGGGATATTTAACATCAGGAAGAATCAGTCTCGTTGAATCTTCTGACTGATGATGACCGTCAATTCAGGAACTTTTAATGAGATTATTATACAGTACAGGTCTCGCAACATGGGACACACTGACAAAAACAATGAAAAGCAGGACAATACAACCCTACTGTGGAGTCGGTCACGTCGAGTGAGGCGGTGAGAGAGAAGTTTGTCCTGACCAGGGGAGGTTGGTGGGCGTTAGTCAGCATGCACAACGAACAGGTACCAGCTGTACGCCTGCCCCCCACTACCTCGGGTGCTCCTACTAGTGCGGCACACGAGGAAGACAACAGCTCATACCTGCACAGTTTTTTAAAAGTCTGGAGAACTTATGTAAGCAGGTCAATAAATTACACAGTGAACTCTATTTCATTCAAAATAATGCCGTGCAAAGCTAGCATGCTCTTTCAAATGTTTATATGTGTAAAAATGTATTTACTACAGTCTGTATATAAATGAAGATGCAGTTGTGTGTGTGTGTATAGATCACCAAAAGTAGGTCTGGGATCAGTTCCTTATATATATATATATATATATATATATATATATATATATATATATATATATATATATATATATATATATATATATATATATATATATAAATGCAACATCTCTAAATAGCATCAATCAAATCTTTAGGTTTACAATGCAAATAAAAATAATCCATTCTTATCTAACTATATCTAATCTGCCCTAGGTGAGGTAAGCTTAACATTAATTGCGTTTGTTTAGCTTCGTTTAAATATGCAAGGTCAGGTTTTGACCCCTAACTTGCACTCTAGTGGTAACGATGGTGCCTACCAAGTGTAAGATTGATCCGTCCATATCCGAAACTAACACACACACACACACACACAAACACGAGCACTCAAACGCACGCGCACGCACATACACACTTTCCTATTGGAAAATGAATCCACTTAAAGCTTACCTAAATCAATAATTTTATATCCATTGGTAAGTAAGTCAAACTTCCTAATGTATTTGCTTCAGAAAAAAAAGGTAACTATTCACTTGATGCTGTCTAGCCTAAACTACACATATACCGTTTTACCGGAGTTAGATTAAACTGGTATTTTCATCTGGTTAAATTTAGGTATACAGTGCTAGAGTTGTCTAATTGCTGTTTAAACGCTGTTACCTCAAGCTCATCTCACCATACTGCTGGTTGTTGCCGAGTAAGATCAGGTTCTACATAGATTCACAGTTTTTCTTGATTTCTCCTATTCAGCAACATTGCATATCTAATTTGGCGTGAATGTAGTGTCAAGGTGAAATATGCATGAGTGAGTGAGTGAATGGGTGAGTGAATGAGTGAGTGCTGGTCTCTTGTGTAAAAAAAATATATCATAAGCAACTTGAGGTGGTTTGTAGAGGAAAATGTTGAGTCCACCAGTAGCGTGGAGTTGGCTGAGGGGTTTAATCTGAGGTGTTTTCCGCACAAACGAAAATTATATGCTGGAATGGGCAGACTTAAGGACACATTTTGTTAAAGAGAGATTAAAAAAAAATCTGCAAAGGTTATATTTTATAAAGATTTATGGATATTATTTGAGATTGTGAATCTTTGGATACAGTATAATGAGTTTTATGTATTGCGAAATAACCCTCAATACTGCTGGACACATTCTATTACATTTGTCACTGGAATCTTACACCTCTATATCAAAAACCTCTTCTTCCATTAACATCTTCCCGACATCAGTACCATCAAGTGAGTATTGTCAGTAATACCTTCCGCTCATGATAAAAAGTACACATTGAGTATTAACCACTTTATCCATTCACATTTTTGATGCCTCACGGACTAATTGGATGTGTTGTAGACGTCAACTTGAGTGATATGATGCAGACCTTGCAGTAATACCAATCACAGTTTACCATCACACGTATAATGATTTTTTTTAATTCACATTAACTTAATTCTCCCTCTTTTATAAATACCTTCATCAAGTTCAACCATATAAGAGAAAAAACCATGGGCTCATTTTGTACCATAACTTCATACATTGAGTGATCACCATTCTACGACATATATTTCATTACGACTCCGTATTTAAATCCTCCTTCTGTTAAGTATAAACCTTCCCTAATGTTGAATCACCAGAGCCTTTGTGATTATTACCTGGGGCTGATGCAGTGCTTGAGGGAACAACAACAACATTGGGGGTTTACTTTTTACATTAACATTTGGCAAATTTTAAGACATGACACTTACCAACCTGAGCGCTGTGTTACATGACGTGACCAGGTTCTCCCCAGTCTAGCATTTAAAATTAGTGTGGATCAAATGTCTCTATAGTGAGTAACAAAATTGAACCTCTTAAGTCAATGCCGAACCTCTGAATCAATATAAAAAAGTCTTTGAAACTTTTTTGTCTGTAATTTACAGACATATTAACAAACTCATATTACCAGACATTGTATGGTCAGTCTCTACATTTATCACGTGTCCACCATGCACTAAATATAAAGTTATATATGAATTAAAGCCACCTTTTTTTTACGATACACCCTTGAGTTGTATGTTATATTATAAAATATTAATAAAATGCACCGTTGTTGATTATTAAAGCAGCTCCTTGAAATTAAATAAATTGACAGTCCCATCTCCTGCTCTTGCATCCTAAAGTGCAGTCACTTCTGTGGTGTTTCTCAAATGAATCTAAGTTAAGTATTACAGTTCACATTTCTTAAAATACAAAATAATTGAAGCTCACGTGTTGTTACACTTTAAGAGCTCGTGTACATCGGATGTTGTAGTTCTGAAATATTTTATAAATAATCTCCCATTCTTAAAGTCATTTCTTAGTTATCAGTTAGTTACAGCTCCCATCGTCTAGATGAGAGGGTTAATCCTTGCATCTCTAACATTAAAGGAATCTTACAGCCGCACCCCTAACATAAAGGGGTGCACATCCTTAACACAAGCAAAATAATCATTATAGCTCTGACATATGGGGGGGGGATTCAGTTTTCAACTGCAAACACAAGCGTGGGCCATCCTTGCACCTTTAACACAAGGGGAGTTCACACTTGCCTCCCCAATAAAAGTGGAGGGTTCATTCTTGCTCTAACACAAAGACCAAACTTTATGTTTTTCTTTGACATTTAAGAAAAAAATTACCCCTGGAGTAAATAGGGGAAAGTTTATCCTAGAATCCTTAACACACAAGGCGGGGTTTATTGTGGCGTCCCTTGTACCACTGATCACAACTTGTATCTCATGACATAACGGACAATCACTCTTGGACTCTGAACACAATATGGTTCTCGTATCTCTAAGCATATACTATGCACTAATATTTAAACGAATCAGTAGCCTATGGTTCAGCTCACGCCTCACCTTACAAGGGACATAATGAATATCTTAGATGCTCGGGGGTGAGTTGACTGTGTTCAGTGACTACAGTCCTAGACACAGAGATGGGATGGGGAGAGATAATGAGGAGTGTAAAATCTTATTTAACAATCTACATATAACTAATTAATGCTCGAAAGAAAACGGAAATCTACTATTAATCCATTTAATTTTTCGTGTAAAATATAAGTTGTTTATATAAAGAAGTTAAATTTGAGTATTTAGTTTATTTTAAAAATATTGAGGAGGAAAAATTTCCTTGTAAGTGTTGTTTAAATGGTGAAGTTGACACCAGTACAGTAATACTATAAACGGTGATCACAAGAACTGTAAGTTTAATGTGAGAAAGTACTTAATTGATTCAAATATAATTTCAATTTATAATTATTGTATTTAACAAAAGGAAAGTTTTCCTTAATCCAATCCCAGACAAATTGCATTTATCGGTGCTACAACTTGGGTATTAATGGAGGATTATGATAAAATAGTCATCTTTAAGTGTCTATGTTTCCAAGCAAGAAACACTACTCCATTACAGTACATGTGTATAGCTAAGATTCTACCGAGTTCATGAATGTAGGATGCAGTTTTAAATTCAGAGGCATCCAAAATCTTTGAGTAATGCAAAAAGACTAAAATATAATGTTTAATTCTGACTAGCAAAAGTTAACTAACAAGATGTTGGTGGCTATGGCAGGATGGTTAACACTTACCCAAGGAACACTGGTTAAGAAAATGTTGGACGAGACCATCTAAGTGTGAACATTTCCATTGGGAATTCGATTTTCTTAATAGTCGACCATCAAACGCAAAATCTGGTGCTGTACATCATTGATAATTCTTCATTAATACAGTAATCGTAATATGGATTACTGAAATATAACAAATCTGTCCATACAAAACTTTACATACCTTGAGATGACCAACGAGAGTAAACAGTCTTTATGATGGCGGTGCAGTGAGCGACCAGAGTAGAGTCATGTATACACGCCTCAACCTCTTAATTCTGTCTATCTATAATAACATTTTCCACACCAATTCACTCTCCATTCGCCAGTCTTATAGTACACTATCAGACTTTCCTCCCCTCCCCATTATCATTATACCTAGACTGTAATTGGTTCACCCATTTCCGTCTGACAACTACTGAATATCACAACAGTTTCAGTGAGTCACTCCCCATATATCACACCACCCAAATGTATCACTCCCCATATATCACACCACTCTAAATATACCATGCTCAAACCACACTATTCTAACTGTATCATACTCACATCATCAAACCAACCTCATTACTATTATACTTACCTAAGAACAGTGCATTCGCCTCGTTACATCATACCTGCCCCACATAATCACACCTGCCTCATGTTGTTATACCTAAACCATTCTAACACACTTGCATCCTTATGTGTCAAGTACATAATTATCAGATAGAGATGCCTTGGACACACCCCCCCAGTGGCGACGTAACGTCAACATTCAACATTAATTCTTACCTGGGAAAGATGCCAAAATGGGATTCTAGGATGTTGTACTGTGGCTCCTTGTCTTATCTAATTCAGTGATTTACAAGTCACCCTCCCTGCATTCACATAGGGGTGGTACATGCAGTCTTCCTCAATTGCATCAGCTACCCACCATCCCCACAACTTGGAGTGTTGAAGGCAAATAGAGCACATGCTTGGCACACTGATTATAAATGAATGCTGTAAGCTGGTTTAACTATCAGTTATGAAGGACTACTATTTGAAGGCACCAGGTGGCAAATATCTCCGTGTACTTTGTTCACTTGAGCCGTATAATTTTCGTCTCTGTTCTTAGACGTCTGTTACGCCAAGGGAATTCTTCTTATGACTTGGGATGGATGTTTTGTATGTCAATGGAAAATAAATTTATTATTAATTGATATATATATATATATATATATATATATATATATATATATATATATATATATATATATATATATATATATATATACTCAAGGAAGAAAGAAAACACAGAAGTTCCCAAGCGCTTTCGTGTAATTCACATCTTCAGGGGTGAGTACAGACTGTACTCACCCTGAAGCACAGATCACACGCACCTACAGTGATTTACTTGCATATATATATATATATATATATATATATATATATATATATATATATATATATATATATATATATATATATATATATATATATATGATCACCACAAAATAATATCTGCATCCTAGATAGGAATATAAAGGTGTCACAACACGATACGATTTCTTCCCTTGCCACAGTTAATTTTATTAAGTCTATTGATAAATTTTAATAATTGAAGCAGACACCATCTGCCTGCGCTAATAAATTAATGGCAGTGAAAGCATGGATGGTTTGCTCTATTTGTTTGCATATTTGTGAAACAGAGTAGTGAGACAAGAGAAAACGGAGATGTAATCTATGCGTGACGTTTATGGCTTGACTACTGTATGTCTGCAACCTAGATCACCAACGAGGTTGGTGTCGACTTAGTGACAGAAGCCTTATGTCACAGGGAGATGAGATACCTGTCCAATGTTGCAAGTCTTTCCTGGGACGGGCAAGACCAACAAATATGCTATATTGTCCAATTATCTTAGCGGTGGCCACGTGACACCACAGCGGAGTACTGCAGCAATAGGTACTGACGATGCTCAACTTGCAGCCTCTTAAAATTAATTACATACTGTATACACAATTAATGTTTTTATAAGACTATCACAATATCCCTAAGTTCATATTATTGCTCTGAAATGTGCAAAATCATCAGGTATCTAAGTTTGAGACTAATATATGACGACCAATGTTGATTATAACGCAGATGAGGTTGAAGGGGGAGGGCATGACACTTAAAGCATCCTGCCCCACGACCAAGCACAACCGGAGCCGGATTCACTAACGGTTCGTGACAAGCACTGCAGCTGCTGGCCAGAGTAATAACCTCAAAGTGTATTATTGATTGGTCCAACATACTGAGGAAGGCGGAGGACAAATTAGGTGAAACACATTAAGCTGTGTGCTCTAGGGATTTACTTGGTGTTCCGACAACCTCATGTAAGCTACTTACGCAACCATTTAATATTTTCAAACTACAATCAAAGATTGTCAGTATTTATTTACATAGCATAAATACCTGGAGTTAACTGCTACGAGCAGAAATCAAGACAGCAATCTGAACCACCAGATGGCCAGTCAAGTGACTGCAACATGAAACTAAGCCAACAGAGAGAAAAGCTTTAGTAACTACCTTGTCTGAGCACCTCAACTCCCGCAGGGTACCAGTGTTCACCCTGCCTGAGTAAGAGGAAGACTGTATTCTCTGGCAGGGTGCAAAAGTACTCCGGGTCCTCCACTTGCGTTCCGTCAGCCTCCAACACTACTTTTATCCGTACCTCCCCCAGCTCCAGCTTCTCTCGACCTGTTGAGGGTGAAGTGAGTATAGTGGCTGAAGGGAGGTGGGTGGGGGGGCTCTTGTGGGTGGAAGAACACAGTATATGCACAGCAAAATGTTCATAGTACTTCTACATGTCCAAAAAAGTGTTATCATAAACACCTGTAAATATTTTTTAAACTACCCTGTTTTAAAAAGACCTTAATAACATACTAAGGAGAATTCCAATATATTATGGATTACATACCACAAACAACTGAATATTTGATACTTGATCTAAATGACAATTTCAACAAATCTTTTTTTTTTATGAAACTTTGAAAACTGTCTGTCATTCTGAATTCAAGTCTGTTATGCCGAGAGTTTGAGCCAAGCCCGTAAAACCACCAGATAATCTTGAAATGTAAAAACCCTAGTTACTAAAATTGCCAAGGTCTTATGTCATGGGCCATCAGACATGTGATTCCCAAATACCTCTCAGTCAGTAGCTGTTCTGTGAACACTGTCCGATCTGGCTGTTGCCTTGTATCTATTTAGCAGTTTTATATTAGGTGAACAAAATTTACAAAATTTGTGAAATGTACGTGAAATTTACCGCTCACTCTCTGTGTTCAGTCTATATGAATTTGCTTGTGTTTGAGCTAAAGTATATATGTAATCTCTCTCTCTCTCTCTCTCTCTCTCTCTCTCTCTCTCTCTCTCTTTCCTGAGTGGATGAGTCGGGACCAGGGGTTAGCAGAATGTTTCTAATAGTCACCAACTGTCCAACCTAACCTAACTTAACCAAGCTATAACCCACTGCAGTGCTCACAGACTGGCAGATATGGATCACTACGAGTATCCAGTTACCCTGAGTCATACTGATATAGCCGAGGTCCTTGGGAGAGACAGAAAGACCTGAATGAGGTGTTCATATGGTCTCGGGACTGGTAAATGCTCTTTAACATTACAAAATGCAAGATCCTACGCGAAGGATACAACAACCCTAAGCATAACTACTCTATTAATAGCACTTTCCTGGATACTGTCGATAAGGATAAAGAACTTGGCGTTGTGATAGATCATCCGGTGAAGGTGGCACAGCAACCACGAGGAAAACAAATCGAGATTTAGGAATTATAAAGCGTACCGTTGAATAAGGAGACAGGAAAATGCTCATGCAACTGTACAACGCTCAAGTACGTCCCAGTGTGGATTACTGTATACAGGCATGGAAACCCTACAGTACTGTACCTCTAGAAAGATCCAACATCCTTTGAAAAGATGCAACTGAGTGACTAAGATGATTCCTGAGCTATGTCATCTTGACTATCCAAGTAGACTGAGGGCAGATCTTATTGAAACATTTAAAATCTTGAAAGGGATGGAAAACATGAACCCGGGTCATTTCTTTGTGATGTTACGCAACGCCAACACGACGGGACATAACTTCAAGCTCGACAAGTTATCATGCAGAACGAATATAAGGAAATACTTTTCCACACACACAGGCTGGTAGACCTATGGAACGGTCTACCAGCCCAAGCTGTTGATTCAAGAACAGTACCGGGCTTCAAAATAGCCCATGACAAAATGATCAAGAACAATGGAGGGATCCTACACAGGCCACTGGCCTCCTTCCGTCGGCATGGTCAACTCTAGTGAGTAAATAATAATAATAAAAAAATTCCTTCAAACTAGAATATTCCTACATTACGCCAAAAGACTCACTAACTTCATTATAAGATGCCAACAGAATGTGGCACCGTAGAGCATGATTTTGATCCAAGAAACGTGGAAGAAACTCTCCGCCGTCTACTTGGGAACCGTGCTGAAAGATGCTGCGGTGACTGTAGGCCCGCAGTGGCTCCCACACTGGGGGGCGAGGCCACGTGAAAAACATACATTTTGATATTTATTTTCTTTTTAATATATTTTTCAGTAAAACTATGTAACGATTTTTTCTTGGTATACTTTAATTTTCCTCCATATGCACGAAATACATGGATAAAATAACTACAGTACGAGTTAGTGAGGGTTTGGTAAAAATCAAAAGGGGGGAAAGGGTCAGGTTAAAAAGTTTGGGAACCACTGTAAATGTAGGTAATCCAAGAGTCCAGTTATACATGCTGTGTCAATGTTTCCCAGCGTAGAAACGCCCTATGATTAATGTTAACTTGACCCGGAAATGTTAAAGGTGTCCTGATCTCAACCTTCCTTCTTAACTTGACATTGAAGAGGTCACAGCTAACACCTTCTGGATCTTGATATGAGAAAGGTCATGTAAGGTTACTATGGATATTTTGGGTCACGGAGATGGAGGAAGATCATGGTACAGTGGCACTGGTTCCTGTGGTCACGGAGATGGAGGAAGATCATGGTACAGTGGCACTGGTTCCTGTGGTCACGGAGATGAAGGAAGATCATGGTACAGTGGCACTGGTTCCTGTGGTCACGGAGATGGAGGAAGATCATGGTACAGTGGCACTGGTTCCTGTGGTCACGGAGATGGAGGAAGATCATGGTACAGTGGCACTGGTTCCTGTGGTCACGGAGATGGAGGAAGATCATGGTACAGTGGCACTGGTTCCTGTGGTCACGGAGATGAAGGAAGATCATGGTACAGTGGCACTGGTTCCTGTGGTACATGTAGTGTGAGGTTAACACAAGATAGCAATCAGTAATGGATGCGGTGTGGGTCGGTCATTCAGTCTGTCGGCCCCAGGTCATCGTGGGTGTGTCTGGGGGGAGCGTCTCCACCTGTTGTGTTGTATGAGAGGAAAGCGTGAGACTAACCCTGTACACTCTGGGACTAAAGTCATGGACAGCAGCACGGAAGCTACACTAGTCACCTCTGGCAATCATTTTTTAACCTCAACAACGGTACTTAACCACATATGGTTTTAAAGTTCTATAGAGCTTAATGCATTATTTTGCGTCCATAGAACCTAACGACTTCTTTTACGTCTATATAACCTAACGACTTTTTTTTTACTTTTATATAATCTAACAACTTCTTTTACGTCTATGTAACCGAACAACTTCATTTACGTCTATAGAACTTAACGACTTCTTTTACTTCTATAGAACCTAACGAGTTCTGATCTGTTAATCATAAACTTTAAGTGACCTCCAGCACTACATATCTTAATTACAGTGACATTAATTCTCCTCAGTTCTTACGAGTAGATTCCATTAACCTTGGGTCTCGCATCACCCAATTAGAAAGACTTGATCCTCCAGGTATATTTTATCGTTTATGGGAATATGAGACGCCTCGCTCTTCATGCCTCCTCCTCTATCTATACGTAGGAGCTGTGGGAGGCAACACGATCACGATATCACAAGGAAAAGAATGATTCATTTGAGTTTTGTTTTTTATTCACAAGGTCACCACGTGACAGGTTATCAATACTGTGACAGGATGAAGGAGGAAAGTTAAGCTACGTTAGGTTAGGTTAGGCTAGGTTAGGTTAGAACCTAACCCGATTGAAACATTCTTTTCGTTGACTAAAAATATTAATTAATTTCGTAAAATACCTGATTACACGGTTTGACTATATATATATATATATATATATATATATATATATATATATATATATATATATATATATATATATATATATATATATATATATATATATATATTCTGATTTGGACTTTAACTTCAGGTCACACCTTCAACCCATAAACCATCTTGCTTGGACAATTCAACGCAAAAGTTGGCAGAAACATCAACAGTTTGCTGGTCAAACATCTAGGGCAAAATCAGAGTCAGCAGCCTGAGTGCACAAGGGCCACTGCACTCCTGAGCAAGCAGGTATATGGACCACAGGGTCGTCACCACCAACACAGTCATCAAACAGACTGATAAATACAAAACAAAGTAGATTCACTCAAGATCCAAACAGTGGTAACGTGACCTGGTGTTCGCATCACCAGAGTCGGAGACCATAAGATGATCAGAGTTATACTCAACACCCATACTTCCTTAACACAAAGACCATCATAGACGAAAAATATTCTAAGTAATACTAAACCATGTTGCTTATTGAGGGAAGCTTTAGGATAACCTCATTAACTGCTTCCCCTCACCAGGCAGCTCAGTGGGATAATAGTATAAGTCGAAAAACATTAATTCATAAAAAACACTAGATTCTCGGGCACAAAAACTGTCCATCGAAACCGGTTTAATGAAAAGAACAAAGAAATCGTTGCTATTCAGAGAAAGAGGAACAATGTTTTCCTGGCTCGCTAAAAGGCCCACAATCTATTTTTAAAAAGGCGACGGCTTCAAACTTTCAAAGTATACCACAAAAAATAGCTTTACTTTATGAAAAACAAGTGGTGGTTAAGGAAGGAAGAGGAGACTCAACATTATGCTGAGACAAACACAAATTAATGTACGGATTCCTTTAAGAGCGTCTTTGATCCCTTGAAGTCAGGCACGGTACCACACCTCCTCGCCTGATGGTAAGACTTCATTAAAGACGAGGTCTCAATCTGTGCAGAGATGGGTCGAAACCTCACCAGACCTTCCTGAACCGACCAACAATTTTTTATACCACCCACTACAAAAGTCCACCCAAGGCATACTTGATTTACCACAACATTTACATTAAATGCAAAAGGCTGTAAACCCGGAGAACTCGGGAACAAATGGGGGTAGAGGCAGAGATCTACAAAGAAGAAGGGCGAAAGTCGATTGAAACTTTCCATGATCTCGTTTTCACCATCAAATAAATTGAGTGTCAACGAAAGATCATTAATGTGTAATAAAAAAGAAGTTGGCGATAGTAGGGATTCTTCAGGAACTCCAGAAATGATCAGCTGATAGTGAGAGAAAAGACTATCCAGAACTATGCATAAAGCGACTTAATGAAATGCAACATTCACTAGCTATATGCCAGTCCCATACATCCCACAAAAGATGACAGATATTGCCAAGAGTCCAGGGATGTGTGCTCTAACTGCACCTGGCCAGACAGTAAGTATGATAGTCACTTTCGAGATCAAAATTCTCGGACAGCAAATAATGGAGTGCC